TGTGTGTAAATATATATATATATATATATATATATATATATATATTATTTTTTATTATTTCAATTCCCTGCACGAAAGCTCATTTCTTGTTTATTTGTCATAATATTTGCATCTTTTCAAATTTACCGTAAACTCTCCAGTTTTGCATGATTTTTAAAGCTAATACTTTGATTTCAACTAATGTCTAATAGTGTTTCAGCATTAATTTTTCTGCTTTTCAGCAGAAGCATCGAAACAACAAAAATCTTCATGCCAATTATCAGGGCTAGAACATATTTTATGCTTTACTTATCGTTTCATTGCCGATTTTTCTTTAGCATGAATTTTAAGTTATTCCAAGATTAATTATTTTCTATTTAAAATCCATGCAGATGTATAACTATTTTATTTTATTATTTCGTTAAAGAAAAAGTATTAATATTTCAAATTTATACAATGTCGTAATATTTGTAATTTACTTCTTACGTTATATTTTTGAAGTCGTAAATGTTATTCTGCCTTGTGTAAATTATGTATGATTGTGCATAATTAATGTAACGTTAAATTGATAAAATTGTAATGAAAAATAAGATGCAAGTTAATCTTTTAAAAATCAATACATATATAGCCTTTACTATTTAATTACATTATCAATTAAGACTTAATAATAAACCGCGACTAAAATTTTAATTTATCTTGAAGAAAAAATTCATTAATGAATTATAATGATTACAGAACAACATTTCACAAGTTTCGGTAAAATTCCATTGATATTATTACGTGTACGGATTTTAAAATAAACTTGTAGTATTAATAGGACTTGTACATTTCCTAAGACATTAATAAATGTACATGACATATATCTGATGGAAAACGTTTCCAAGCATTTACAAACTTGAAAGCAAAGTTGAATCGTAGTATGTATAATACTTTGTACAATTTTGCATGCATTTTGAAAATATAATTTATGCCTTACGTCACATTGAAGAAACAAAGAAAAGAGGAAAAGGTTTTAAGATTTCAAAGTATATTTATCTGATTTTGCAAACAATGATTTTCTTATCGTCGTCTAGCCCTGACAGCACAGCATTGCTTGATTCGAATTTGCAACATCTCCGACAGTCGCTTTAAATCGCGAATCGCATCAGTTTCAGATTCCCAGGGACGTCACAACGACCATCAGGTCACGTATCCCTCAAGCAAACGGTACATTTACGGAGCCAAAGTAACGTAAACGGCAGCGACATATCTACTTACCTGCGAAACAGCAGCAACAGCAGCAATAGCGGCAGTAGTCACAGCAGCAGCAACAGCAGCAGCAGCAATAACAACAACAACAACAACAACAACAACAACAACAATCATCAGCATCACCACAGCAGCATAAGCAACGCCAAAGAACCCATCTACACGAGCACGACGTGCCGTAGTGCAATGGAAAACGGCGTCGGTTATGTACCCTACAGTCCTTACGCATTTCGGCGCCGGGATATGATTCTCAGGCCGTACTCGCCCTCCTGTAGACATGAGCTCAATCGCCACCAGACGAGCAACGGCTGCAAGCCCGACGACTGCGCTAACGGCCGGCCCTACTCGCCCTACCGGGGCAGTCCGAACCTCGCGAATCCCGAGGCCACAAGGTCTTACTCGCCATACTGCAGCCGGCGCCTCGAGGAGAGAGACGGCAGCAGGGAGCGTTGGCAGATGACCCCAAGGTCACTCAGCCCCTTCGCCAGAGACTATTCCCCATGGAGGCGCGAGAACGTCGATCCCCCGGTCATACAACTTCCAAGTTCGAGCGAGAGGTACTCGTCGTTGGTGCAGCAGCGCCTCGGGCAGATCTCAAGAGTGCCTCACGCCCAGGATCAAAATGCTTATGCCAGTCCCATGGTTAGTCGTAAAAGGTACGAGCCAATATTAACTTCTATATGCCTGCTTATTGGTTGTCGGAGTTGTAGAAATATTTTGTCACTTCGGCTACAATTGTCCCCGAATATGATGCTCCTCCCCCTTCGAGACATTCTATACAATAATGAACTTTTCATCTCAATTAATTCAACTAATAACACATATAATCATGCATTTCTCCTGATATTTGCTTACTAAGGGTGAGTAATTTCCACTAAAACGAAATAAGGTAGAAATTATTTCGCTAGACGTTGTCGAATATGTGTGGTAGGAGTCTAAGGCCAGGTTTCATAAAAACGTTTTAACTGTTTTACTGTATCTAACTTTTTACTGATATGTGTGGTAGGAGTCTAAGGCCAGGTTTCATAAAAACGTTTTTACTGTATTCGTGTAGGTCACTGAAATTTCATTGTACTAAGATGAATAAGCTTTAACTTATTACTCGTTGTATTTTGGTAAATCTTCAATTAGTACGTGTCGAGCTTGTCAACTGTAGTAAATTAAATTAAAACGAGGCTTAACAATAATAAAATGTCTACTTTAAGCTCGTTATAAAGTTGCGTGTAGAAGGATTTAACGAGGAAAAATAAATTTAAAACAAAAAGCAGTTACCGTAGAACTGAAATTTGAGAATAATATTGGTTTATTTTGTTACGATGTAAAATTAGTTGTTTATTTTCGAAATTTGATTCTCAAATTAGCCAAGCTTTAACTGCTAAATAATGGTTTTGGTTTTCTTGCTCTTTTAAATACTATACAAAAAAAATTTTTTTAACGAATACATTTCTTCCTTTAAATTGCATTGCAATTGAGTTTTTATTTTGATCAATAAAATGAAATTTATTCGTTGTAAGCGAATATCAAAGTTGGGAAGAATTGTTTAACGATATAGCTTAAAAGGCAAGATACTTTGTGCCTTCTCTTGACTACTGGAATGTTTGAAGATTATCATGAATCCTTCGTAAAGGAATGCATTACGTAATGTCGTAACGTAAGGAGGAGAAAATTGTTTTTATTTTTATAAAATACCAATAATTAATTCATTTAAATATTTTTGTTGTCGTTGTGTTTTTACAATTTTTGTAATCACAATCAAGTTGATTTATCATGATATATCACCGATTGTAAAATGAGAATATAAAACATTTAAACATGTAAGACTTTATTTAATTTCTACATTGCGATGCTAACGGTAATTTAACAAAAGCAAACTTAGTCTTTATCACACGAATCTACGAACAGTCGAGAAAATTTATGATAGTTAACATATATATATATATATATATATATATATATATACTTAGTTAAGTAACCTTCATTTAACTTTTAAATATTATCTATGTATAATATAAAGATATACGGGAGGTGACAATGAAACTGAAAATTAGTAAAAGGTGTGGTACACGTGGCATCCAGGATAGATTGAAAAAATCTATCAAATGTCGAGCCAAGTATGAAATTCCAACTATCTATTTATGTAGCAACGATGTTACTAATTAGGTATCGTGTTGAAAATGTAAACGGGATCTCGTTGTTCTCATAGGAGCAATTAGTTAATATTTGTATTGAATTACTTACAATCGTAAATAAAAGTTGTAAATAAAAAATTATTAGAATTAAATAATTAATAAAAATTATTAGATGTATGAAGTAAATAAATGTATTAATGTAATATGATTTTATATTAAGAATTAAGAAACAAATGAAGAAATTTTTTTTTCAATATAATATTAAGACGATGAATAAATTATTCTTAAAGGTTCATTTCAAGAAAATATTTTTAACTTGATATTTAATTTTTTCTTCAAATAATCTCCAGCTATTGTTGATACTTGTATGGACATCTTGTAGAACTCCATCTTGAAATCGGGTAAATTTAAAAGAGCAAATAAACCTAAATCTTCATTACGCATGGCTTAAACTGGCAGACAATCTGCATTCCCAGAGTGAACAACAGCTCCGGATGGGATGGAGGTCCATCGGCAAATGACATACACAGATTCTACGAAATATGCATTTTATTCTGTTATTGTGATTGGAGAAGGACAATATCAGGTTGTAGACGGAGTAGGGAATATATAGCTCGATTACTATTAACAGTAGTTGCCAAGGAGATGGTAAGCCACCAGGAAGTCAAATATGATTGGTCCCGAGACTGACCGACTCGGAGAACCGTGGCAACTAATATTCTCAGGTTGTTTTACGCAGGTATAGATGCAATATCTTGACAACCTTGACACAATCAGTGACCGTGGATAAATTGGTAGAGCATCTTTTTATCGTGCGAGTATTATTAGGGGTTATGTTGTAGCGCAATCAACATAACCCCTCCGATATCGATTGCAACTTGAAACTATGAACATTTTAAGTAATAACAAATTTTGTAAATTAAACGATACTTTAAAATTAGAAATTTAAAACAGAATATATTTATTTCGATATTTATGCCAGAGATTGGAAGGAGTTTGAACAAAACAAATAGTAATTAAGAAGAACTTAGAGATTTAATGTTATACAAGGCTTTACGGTATTAATTGAAGCATTAAGATACTTCACATTTTATTCATCAAACATCGTGTATGAATTACAGGTTTCCTTCTGAACCTCCACCACAAGGATCACATAACTCAACCAGTCCTCAATTACTTATTTCCCGTTTCGCGCATCAATTAAAGCAAGAACCCCCCTCTACTGTTCCGCAGCTACTATTAAATAATAAAGAATCTGCAAAAAAACGTTTTACCTCATACGTAAGACTTAGACTTGGCAGTGATCGTGAACCCTCTCCGGAGCCTCCGCCAAGATTCAATCGAGGAGAATCGCCACTTCTTTTGCGAAGAAATTTGGGAGAGCCGGCCTCTCCCTTTTTTCCTAGAAGGTAAGAATATTTGATTTATTTATTTTATATTAGAATAAATTAATTTATAATAAATATTATCCTGTATTGAACGAAGTGCTTATATGTTGTTGTTTTTTTTTAATATAAAAGTAATGAAATCCTATACCACATTTAATAAAATTGCCCTGTGTAATTATTTATTTATTATAGTTATCGCATTTTAATTGCTTATATAATTATAACATTTTTAAAGTTATGAAAATTGATTATACAATAAATGCATTTATACGTAAATTATAAATTACATGCTCATGTTTCAACTTATGTTTAAGAAAATATTTGGCAGACATTTTATCGATCAAATAATTTATAAATAATTTGCCATTGTATGTAAATATTTGCATATATTTAACATACTCATTATTAGAAGATTTTTAATCATTGCTTAAATATATATTTAACTCAATCAATTATCGTAATGCTACTTCATTCGTTTTGTATCTGCAAATTATATAAATAATATAAAGCCTAATTTAATTAAATTTTTGGTAAAAATTCATTCATCAATTTATTTTATCTCTGTCCACTAATATTTTAAAATGTTATATACAAGTATTTCGATTCATATTAAATTTGTAATTTATTTGTTTTGATTTTCAATTAATTTTATTTTAATTTGATGCTTATTATTAAAAAAATATATTATTTCATATTTAATATACGTTATGTAGTGTTATTAAAATATTATTTAGTTTTTAATTAGCAAACCATGATTTAATTATGTTTATTAATATAATCGAGCAATCAAATTTTCTTTTGTTTATCTAAAACTAACGTCACAGTAAAAGGAAAGACATTATAAATTATATCTTTGTTATGAAATATATTAATTGAGAATATTATTTGCATAAATCGATTGTTTGAATTTTAGCCGAATAATTTATTAGATTAAAAACATACGCTTAAATGCATCAAATGAATCGATATATTTTTAAAGATTATTTAAAATATAAAATAATTTTGATTAAATAACAGTACAATGTTAATGATAAATCAATGCTTGCTTTTTAGTTTGTATAATAGATACATTTTATTTGAATTAATTATTATCAATTTATAATGTTAAAAATATGTAATTTGAATTGAGTAATAATTTTATATTAACAAATTACTTTTCCACTATTGAAATATATTATTTTCACGAATGTGATTATTTGAAATTCAATGCCATTTTCATGATAATACAATTATCTCCTGGAAGTTGTACCATAAGACATTGCGAACATAAAAATTGCGAATCATTATGTTGTTATTGCAAAAAGTAGGTATATGCTTTTGTAAGAAAAAGTCCTGCTATTATATTAATTGTTTATTTATTTATACATTTATTTCTTTATTGCAAAGTGAATTTTATATAATGTAATGCATCGTACAAATGAAATTCTAATTAAAAATTACAATATTAGTTGTTTTTGTTATTACTGCCATTGCCATTAGAGTTGAAAGTTATCCAAAATAATATTAAGACGATTAATCACTATTATATTGTTAATAAATCCGTTTTAATTACTATTGGCGAGCACAATAACATTATAGCATATTATTTAAAACCTTTATAATTAGGAGGACATTATGTATCGCATGAAAATGATCGTATAATAGAATATCAAATATATATGTAATAGGGGTGTAAGCAAGCAGGTAGGAGGCAAATCAGAGATATAGACTGTTTCCTTGGCAGGTACGTCTCGCCCTCACCGCCGGTTCCACCACCCCGTCGACTATCCGAGAGTAGCTCTGTGCCCGGAAGTCCTCAGCATCTGTACTCACGGCTCCATCACTACACGCCCGAGCCCCAGAGACGACCACCGCCTCCATAACACAGTGGCATTGCCGGCGCAATCCAGTCTTTATTCTCACCCGTGCCATATCTGACCAAGAGCATGCAATCGCGATTCTTGCGAAAAGTCAGCGGTCAGACGTTGTACCCACGTTAACCAGTGCTTGGAGATGGCGATCCGAAGAGAGCCGCTGGGAGGACTGCGTAATCGGGAAGTCCGGAGGCGGCTTACGCGCTGTGCGAAGTACTTTAACGTGGAAGATGTAATGACGACCACTTGGTACTTTCACGAGATGCCTAATTCGCAATGACACTCACGTAATTGAAGAGAAAGGGAGAAGCAAGCATTTTTCTAAGACCGCCTACGAATTATATAGTGTTTTTATATGCACTCGAGTAACCTTGATAGAATATATTTGAATAATCCGTTTACTTGCACAAGACTTTTGCCGCGGCTGAAATACGAGTCAAAACATTTTACATCGACCAACTCTGTGTGGATTCACTTTTATCGTCAGTGTGTAATTATAATAATTGAATTCAATTTGATGCTCAACTTTTATACTGCGCTTGTTATGTTAATAACATTAAAAATACACGATTAAATAAATAAACATTAATTGTAGCGTAATGATGGAAATTCTTCGTAGATAACGACAAGGGAGTTTTTTTTCTTCTTATAGACGGAAGAATTCACATATTGAGCGCGTAAACTGTTCCTACTTAATTATTTACGCGCCTTTGTGTTCTTTCTGCACATAGTATTCGGGATGAGAGATTTTAAACTGGGAGTATTTTTAGTTGGAAGAATTCCCAAACAAATATCAAATTGAATTGTTGAAATCATCGGTTGCAAATTATCGTGATTGCTATAGTAACTATTAAATATCTGTTCGACGTGTGAGGATGTACACGAGTACGTAAGACAGCGTACGCGCATGTGTACATTCGCTCATGTGCAACACAGCCATATGTGTGCGTGTATGTATGCATGCGTGTGTATATGCATATACGCATTGTAATACAGTACGTCAACCTTGTTGATGCGATGTTTGCTAGAGGAAATCGGCGACACAAGAATAGACGAAGAAGGACCGACGCTACGCACGGAATGGGACAAGTTACGAAGTTTAATCGATCTTGGCCTTCGATCAATAAGGGCGTTCACGGAAAATAGAAAAGTGGGAAGGGAAGATCGCTAAGAAAGAACGAGAGGGGATAAAATGAGGGGGAAAATATAACTGATTACAAATAATGAAAATGAAGCGATTAACAATAAAATCATTGATGATAGTCTAAAAGTAAGTGACACATATAGAATTATGTCTATTTTATAAATAAATTTGAAATAAATATATTTCCAAATTCCGTCAAGATGTTAAAGCAGGAGAATTCGGAATTCTATTGAAATATTGCTCATACTGTCTCAGCATATGCAAGTATTTCAATTTTAAATTTAATTTTAATTTGTGTAGAGTATCTTATTGTTTCTCATAAATTATGTGAAAGATATATATGAAGGCGACTAATAGTTCAAAGCGAACAATTTCATAATTGTTGCTTTTTTAATATGTTCACATAGATGTTATATTTTTTATCATGTAAAATAAATATTAATGCAGGGTTAGACTCCATTTTAATTAAATAATTAATAAAAGATAGTTATTTTAGAATGATCTTGCTAAGTATATGGGAGGAGTTATATCTGGAAAACATGTTAATATTTCTTCAAGGTTTACTATATTTTTTCATTTAGCACCTTTAATTCTTCTACCTTTTATTTGATTGGATATGATTTTTTATTGTAAATTATCATTTTCCTGCATTACATCCATTTATTAGCGCTCGACACTTTCATTTAATTCTCCGTTAATAATCAAAGTTTCGCATCATTCTTTTTTTTCTGAACGCTCTAATCGATCGAAGACCAAAGTCAGGCAGAATTCCTGACTTATAATCATTCTACACGTGGTAAGAGTTTTTCCAATTATTTTTTGGAACGCCTTTAGTTAATGCCGTTTCGATCAAGTTTCATCGAACCTCGTTAAAAAATAAATAAATACATATATATATATATATATATATCATTTTCGCACAACTATTATTTGTAAATTTTAGAATTCGAAAATAGATTTTCACTTTTCAAATAAAATTGAAATTTTATTTACAATAAATAAAAAAATAATTGTTACAGCTGCTTTAAAGTATGTAGTAATTTAATATTATATACTATGTAATAAAATATTAAATATTATTAATATTAATTTTGTACATATATTGATTGCAATGTATTAATGTGTTTCATGTGCAAGCAATTTTTATTTTTAATCAAAATAATAAATGCTTTTTAAAATAATTAAACAAATTTTGTGCATTTTAACGAGAAACTGAATTAGTGTCGTAATCGAACACTAGGATTTTTAGATTATTATGATTGAAAAATATTTAGCCAATTGATCTGCTGTAATTTAAATAGTCGAAGATTAAGATAATGTACGATCTTGCAGACTTTCATTTAGTTTCTTCGATTTTCTATCTATTGTTTTCATTTCAACAATAAAATTTTGTCAAAGGAATGTTGGAACTATTGAAGATAAAGAGCGCCGTTTGTGCTTTGACATCACGTTCAGTAATTAGGGGCGATTTTGCACAAGATGCATCTCATATTAGCATGTAAGTTTTTATTGTGCAATGATGAAAAAAAAAGAACAAACAAATCGAATGTAAATCATTGTATAATGGTAAATTGTTAATATTATTAAAATATAAACATAAAGTGATTGGCGTCTTTGAGGAACGTATTGGTTTACATTCGAATGCTAATAAAAAAATTTTGTCTATGTTGTACTATATTTCAATATTAAGAGGCGTACTCAGGGCTAAAATGTTGTAATTATTATTTTTAATTGTGTAATATTCATACATTAACTATAATCAGTCTACACATATACCTTACTCTTATTACATCAATAAGAGTATCTGTTGCAATGTAAATAAACTTATATTTATACAAATCTAAATATGATATTTGTTTCATTTGGACTAATACAATGAATACTTATGTGACTTTTTATAATATCTACACTTATTTGTATTTTAGTGATAAACTAACGTTTTAATATGCTATAAATAATTTAGTATATTTTGACATGTAAATAATTCGACTTGGTAAAATCGAATATCCTTTAAAGTAAAATTATACGCGTAATAAAATTGCATAATATGTGGTACTTTTATAAGCTTATATATATGCCGTTTATTCACGAAAGAATAAATTTCATTCGTTATTGATTAATTAAGCTAAAACAAATGCCAATGCGTTTTGTTGAGTATATCATGGTGCTAGTGGCTCATTATGTAAATCTTTTAGTTATTTAATGTAAATACAATTTTTATTGTCTATGATATAATTATTATTTTTCTTTGTTATGTAATTAAATAAAATTATGCTATTAGATTAATCATAATCTTAATATTGAATTTTATATTTAAACGTCGATAATAAATTATTATGTCATAATTTTCTTTAAAGCTCTATTAGCTAAATGTTTTAAATAGTTAACTGTAAAATGATAAGCATAAATACTTTAAAAAATTTTAAAAAACCATATAATTAAATATACTTAACCTTACTCTTTAATCACTTTTTAATAATAAGGCTGTGTAGTAAGTATATGGATTCTCATAAAAATTTACGAAATCGGTCGTAAAAACTGATTTTATCTTCCCTCATTGCTTGAAATAAGTTGCTCAAAATTGGTTTGGCCATCTTTAAATTAAAGAAATATGTAAAACGAGAGAAAAATCAATACAATTATTAGATGCTTTATATCATAATTGAATTGCGAAAGTGGTCTTAAAAATATACATTCCGATTAATTTACATTTTACGTGATATACAATTACAATATCAATGATCGTGCTATAAATATCACCAAAATCACATATGAAATTTCGGATAAATTGTATGCTTTAGCTGTTTCGTTTGTTATATTGGCCTTAGGGGCTTGTTAATATTTTATCTGAAAATCGTAGAAACTGCGTTAATAAAATTAAATAGAAATTGAATTAAATTAGAAAAAAATTTTCAGTTTACGCGATCTTAAGTTCTTACATAATACAATCAGTATTCGATAATTAATTTCCGTTCACTTGTCAATTGATTTTCTTTCATAAATTCTTGTACAAATATGTTATTATTTTTGCAATTTAATATACTATTAATGCATACACGCGCGCGCGTACACAGGAACACACGCGCGTACGCACGCACACGTACACACGCATATATATATATATATATATATATATATATATATATATGCATATATATTAAAATAGCCTATGGCATTTAAATATTATTTCTATTTTCGTTATTTTTAAAATTGCTTAAGTTAAGTGCGAGCGTGTGTGAATATTGTGTACATACACACGCACGCACACACACACACACACACTCTGTTGCAGGTAAGCACATTGAAATTTTATTATAATGTTCAAGCCCTTCTATCATGCAAGCAAGAATTAAGTTAGTGATCACATCGTGTAAGTTTATACAAGAGCTTGTGGGATGTAAGCGGTCATATCGTCTAAACTACCAAATGCCCCGATAACAATTAATTATAACCGTAAAGATAAAACAAACGCATGGCGATTTTAGACGACGTTTTGTCCGAACAAAAAGTAAATAGGTTTCAATTAAAAGGTCAGGAGAACATCGTTGAATAAGGTGAAAGATAAAAGAGTAGTTTTTACATAAGCATTAATCGTGCTCTGTTTTAAAATCATTTCCATTCCAATCCCATAGCATATATAAAGGCTAATCGAGGAATTTACGTTGTTTTAGCGATATTGCGTTTGCGTCTACGTTTATACTTAATCGTTGAGTATTTCAACGACGCGGCCAAAGCACGCGAGTAACTTGGATTGCGCACACTTCGAGCGGCTATATTTTCCTCATAGCGAGTGTAATAGAGTTGGAGAACTACGAAATAAGTCTAAATCGTGCAGGGCTGATACTCTACAACCCACAATCGAAGCAATCCACCTTCATTTTCCGAAGAAAGGACATGCGAATCATAATGAACTAAGGGAGTTTTTAGTACCGGAAATTGCATTTTACATGGAGGTATTATACATAGAGCGATGCAAGCCTAAGTAAATCGGGTGAGTATGATTGTTATGAAAGCTCATTCCCTGTGCACGCGGCCTTCGGAGGAAGTTTGGAGTTGAACTGTAAGACGGATCGGCCCGGCCCAAAAGTCCATTTCAGCGTATCTATGCGTTAGCGAATCGCGGGAGTAATCAATATGGCCTCCAGTCGTGGTGGAGTTTACACAAGCGTAGGACAGTTTTAGTGAAAATCGCTTAGGTTGTTATATGTTGTTGATACCTAGAACAGCCGGCATCGGTTGAAATTTCTTCGAAGACGGTAACTTAGCCGAGCGCTTTCAGCCTTAACCTCGATTTTTTTGTCCCGGTACTTGTATATCTTCTGGCCGTGCCTTGAGTTAAGTTAGTTAAAGATTCTGAAGACCAAAGCTGGAAATCGGAAGTTGCTGGAAGGGGTGCTTTCATTATCATTTTATCATTGATTTTGGCTATAATTCGTCCGAACATGATAATGATTTGGGTAATTGAAATTATTTCTCTATGTATAGATATTTACACACTTATGAGAGTGGTGTAGATCATTTAAAGGTTTTTTTTTTCCCACTATTGCTTTAGATAGGTATCAACTATCACAGATAATTACATCATTTCGTTTTCTTTTTGTGTCTATTAATTAAAATTAATAATATAGGTACATTTACAAACGTTATTTTACATCTCAATAAACTCTATTCATTTTTAACTCAAAGGTAATAGTACAAAAAAAAAATAGATATTTAAAAATAGATATAAATACTTCCTGCATATCAATTTTATGAAAATGGATTAAGAAGTGCAATCCAGTTGTATTTGTAGAGACATTTTTTCACAATAACAAAATTGAAACTTATTTTCATAATATAATAGGGTTTCAATATAATAATGAAAAGCTTTAATTGTAAATACTCCTTAACCTAGTTCAATATCTTTTTATAGATATATCACAATTAAAAGATCTTAATACATTGAAATGTTAAATTATTGTCTTAAACAGTACGCTCAAATTACTATTATATTTGATATGTACAATTGGAGATGATGTTAATAAATTTGAAGAAAGATATATATATATATATATATATATATTTAAAAAAAAATTTTTTTTTTTAAATAAACGAATCTAAATATTTATACAATTGAATTTGAGTATTGATAATGAACAGAGGAAAAACGTGTGATTTTTAATACTTACAGGTTCTTGAAAGCAGTTGAATAATAGTAATTTTAATAAATTAAAAATCATGTCTGAGTCAGAGGGTATGGAAACTAGTACAATAACAGAATCTCAAAAGGAAGATACTGAAGATGAAGACATTTTAGCCAAAGATGAATTGAATATTCAAAAGATTCTTGAAGGTATGACTAATGAATTCAACAAAGCAAATTCAAAAAAAAGTGGAGACTCTGGAAAGAAAATCAATAAATCTGAGCTAACACTACGTAAACAAGAAAAGCCTCAGGTCAAAACTTCAGAAGGGAGTACAAAGTCCACAAAAGTACTTAATTGTTCAAATCATCTTGATGAAGAAATTAAAATTATTAAAGAAAATATTCCTGAAAAAAAATCTGAAAAAACAGTTACAGATGAAGTACCCAAGCAAGAAGCAATTAACAAAAAAGATAACAATATTCCTAGAATTGTATTGACATTTAGAACTATTGATGAAAATACTGATCATGGGAAAAAAACTAAGATTTCTAGTTGTGCATCAAATTTATCTTTAGTGCCAGATGAACTTGTTAAATGTGATCAAATTAGTGGAGTGTCTGTAAAGATTGATGAAATTTGTGACGAAATAAGTAAATCAGATACTATAACATGTAAAAAGCAGAAGGTTGAAAATGACAGTAATTTGTTAATTGCAAATAAAGAGGACAACGTTCGACAGAATACAGAAGAAACTGATTTGCAACCAAATGTCTCATCTCAAGAAAATAATAAGCCAAGGTCAGATTTGGTTCATAAATATTCAAAAAATGATAATGTACAACCGAATAATAAACTTCCCGAAGAACCGGAAACAATAGTAACCAGTACCAAGCGAAATAGACAGAAACGTTTAAGAGAATTAAGGTTTTATTGCATTTATTTATTATTTAATAAAATTAACAGCTACTATTTAATTATAAAATTGAAAAATCATTTTATAATTAAATTAATGTCTTATAAATATAAATGTTTTATACCTACTGTTTTAGCGATGAAGCAGGATTAAAAAGATCTGCAAGACGATTGTCAAAAGAATCATTAAAGAGTACAGTCTTGGAAAGTGCAATGGCAAGGAAAGAAAAATCTAACTATACGGTAGAGAACACTAAAAGAAAATATAGTAGACCTGGGAGACCTAAGAAGCTGATTGCAGACAAAAAAGATACATTACCTAAATTAAATCCCTTAGATCCTTCAAAAGTAATTTCAAATAAAAAAGATACTTTACCTAAATTAAACCCCTTGGATCCTTCAAAATTTGTTCCTGATAAAAAAGATAGTCTACCTAAATTAAGTCCTTTAGATCCATCAAAAAATATTACATTAGCTAATGATATTAACTGCATAAATATAGACGATTCTCGAAAGTCAAATAAATATGAGGGAATGCCTAAATTAACACCAATAATCAAAAGTTGTGAAATTATTCAGCCAAAATTTAGCGAACCAATTAATAGTGAGACTACTATTAAAGATGAAACGTTTATGAAAAATGTTGACGAATCGTTTCTAAAGCCTATTGCAATGAAATCAAAAAGAGAAAAGGGTCGTCTTAGAAGCACTGGCACTGCTAGAAAAATAGCGAAAGGAGGAGTTTTCGAAGGTAAATCATTATATTTTGCAAGAATTAATTATCAACTCTTTATAAATCCTTGAAATAAAAAATAGGAAGTAAAAAGTAAATGGTTTTATTATAATTTATGTATATTTAATAAGGACTTTTAATATATAAAAATATATTTTTACTTGCTGATAATTTACTTTGAAAATATCACCTTGCACATAAGAAATACATTATTAGATTTTTCTTTTACTTCCAGAAGGCTTGACTCCTGAAACTGAAGTAGAAAATGCTTCTAAAGATGTCATTATAGAAGGTACATATAAAATAATTTTAGTAAATTAATTATATTCTGATAATATTTGATTAATATCCTATTTATTGTAGAAAGTCCAATACCTTTGAAAAGAACTCGCAGAAATATGACTCCTAGTCCTAGTACAGCTGAAGGACAGGCATCTAAGCCTGAATCAACAGCAATTTTAAGTAAAATACGTAATGATAAAGTTACTTGTAAGGTAAGTATTTTTGATATTTTTAGAATAGACCTACCAAATTTCTGATTAGTTTAATGTATGTGAATCTAAATTATAAAAAAGTATGGTATCGTAGAATTAAATAAAAGAATTAAAAAATAATAATGATTAAAATTACGACGATTAAGTTCAAATTAATTATTCCAAAAATGCAAGTATATAACATACAACTTATAAATACAGTCAAAAAATATTTTTTTATTTAGAAACTAGAATCTATGCAATGTTTGTGTGAAGTACCATCTCAGTTATTTGTAACAATTACAAGTGCTGAAGCACCATTGTATTGTACAGCCTTAGATTCCGTTGATAATCGAATAATTGGTTGTTGCAATGAAGTTGATCATGATGATGTAGCTATGCGACGACCTAGTACACAAATTCCCTTCATCATATTATGTCGGATGCACAAAGAAAGATTAATTAGGCACAATTGTTGTCCAACCTGCGGATTATTTTGTTCTCAGGGTAAATTTGTACATTGTTCCAATGGTCATCAATATCATCGTGATTGTGAGATATATTATAACAAAAAACCACTGTGTCCACATTGTGGTAGCTATGGCCTTTCATTTGATGTTGTTATCACTATGACTGGGAAACGCAAACCTGTTTATGTCTCGCCGCGCAAGCAATTTTCAAAAGAAATATCAGCCAAGATAAGCTTACCAGGAACAGGTGATAATGCAAAATTAGCTGAACAGCAGCCTGTTAAAAAAAAATATATCGAACCACTTATCAGTCCAGACATAATTAATATTCCTAAACAAACTACTTCAAATACAGATAAATTGGAGCGTTACACCAATATTAGTTTATATAATGCAGTGAAGAATGGTGATTTACAAAAATTAGTAAATATTTTAGGTAATTTTGACATCTTATTCTTATAATATTCTATATATACTTAATATTAACATTAAAATGAAAATAAAAATTCAATATTTATTATATGGCTTGGTATCACATAGAAATAAGTTTATAAAATTTTAAACAGAATTTATTAAACAAAGAACATTTAAACTAAAATCTATATAAAAAAAGCTAATTATTGATATTTTATTAAAGTAAATATCCTTAAAATTATCATTAACTTATGACCGTCATTACTTTTGACTATTATTGTAATTGTTTATTTTTTCAATTTACACAGCATGTGGTTTTAATGCTAATCATACATTTCGTGAACAAGCGCATAAAACTGGTCTACATATAGCTGCTGATAAAGGCTATTTAGGTTGTGTTCATGTGCTTGTACAAGCAGGTGCTCAACTGGATATTTTAGATAGAAATCAATTGTCTCCTTTAATGTTAGCCGCGACTAATGGTAGAACTAACATTGTTAGATATTTGATGAGAATTGGCGCTGATGTGACCTTAAAGGGTGAAGACGGTATGACAGCTTTGCATATGGCTGCAAAATTTGGTCATCTTGATGTTTGTAAAATTATTTTAAATGAATGTAAAGTACCTAGAACATTAGTAGGTAATTAGGAACAGTTTTATATATTTTTACGTACAAACATAATTTTTCACTATAAGTAAAATATTTGTTCTTTTAATACAACAGATTCAGTAGACGATGGCGGATGGACAAGTTTGATCTGGGCATGTGAATTTTGTCATGCTGACGTAGCTCAATATTTGATCGAGAACAAATGTGATCCACTCATAAGGGACGCTGAGCAAAACATAGCACTTCATTGGAGTGCTTTTAGTGGTAGTTCTGAAATAACAGAACTACTTTTAAATATAGGTTGTGATGTTAATGCGGTGAATGTTCACGGTGATACACCACTGTAATAAATCTATTACGTAACAAAAAATCATTTCCGCATTGAAATATATTTGTTTAATGAAAGATTACAATTAAATTTTACAGACATATAGCATCACGTCAAGATCAATATAATGTTAGTATTTTATTATTATCAAGGGGTGCCAAAGTTGGAGAAGTAAATGTAATAGGAGAAACAGCTATAGATTGCTGTGCTGGAAATGGAGATACAATGAATGCACTTCAATTAAACTTTAAAGTAAATCAGCAATCTGATCAAATGCTAGAAAGAACCGTAAAAATATTAACAAAGTAAGGACTTTAATAAATCATATGAATGTATATATATATATATATATATATATATCTGAAGAAAGTTAAAATGTAATGGAAAATAAATATTTATTGCGATTGAATTGTTTTAGTGACATATCTCGAGGAAAGGAAACAAATCCCGTTCAATGTGTAAATGGTTTCGATTCGGAAGATAAGCCAACGGATTTTGTGTATGTTACAGAAAATTGTTTTACAAGTACGATAAATGTTGATCGAACAATAACATCATTACAATCTTGTCGCTGTGAAGACAATTGTAGCTCAGATAAATGCCTTTGTGGTAATATAAGTTTACGATGTTGGTACGATGATGAAGGAAAACTTGTGTCTGAATTTAATTATGCTGGTATTCATAAATGGATAATTATATTATTTATAAATACGTAATTATAAATGTGTTAATGTAATTATCATTATTTCTAGACCCACCAATGTTGTTTGAATGTAATCCAGCATGCGACTGTAATAAGATAACATGTAATAATCGTGTAGTACAACATGGTTTGACACAACGGTTTCAACTTTTTAGAACATTAGGAAAGGGCTGGGGCTTAAGAACTCTTAGACATATTTTAAAGGGTACGTATGTCTGTGAATACGTTGGTGAAATTATATCAGACTCCGAAGCGGATCACAGAGAGGATGATTCTTACCTTTTTGACTTAGATAATAGAGTAAGCATTTCAAAATACGTCTTTAGTATAAGAAAAGAATATAATAGATAGTGCATTATATTTTTATAATTGTTTAGGATGGAGAAACTTATTGTATCGACGCTAGACGTTATGGCAATTTAGCTCGTTTTATTAATCATTCTTGTGCTCCGAATTTATTACCAGTAAGAGTTTTTATCGAACATCAAGATCTTCATTTTCCTCGAATAGCATTTTTTGCTAATAGGAATATCGATGCAGATGAAGAGTTGGGGTATGTGGTAAAGATGTTTCATTATATGAATATCAGATAAGTATTTAATATAAATTATTTTACAATTTTGTTTTTTTCCAGATTTGATTATGGTGAAAAATTTTGGATAATAAAATGCAAGTCTTTCACATGTACTTGTGGTGCAGAAAATTGTAGATATTCCGATAAGACAATACAAATTACATTGGACTCTTATCGTAAAAAAATTCAGCACGAAGAAACAGTAACAGCTCCAACATCGACGGCGTAAAAATTTATATTTCGTAATTGTGTTACAGTCATACTTTAAAAAACAGTAGACTGATTTTATATGGACCATTGATGATCTATTATTGTACATTTTTATGTTAATGAAAACATAATAATATTAAGTAATAAGGCGATTTATATAATAGTAGACCTAAATATTGTGTATAAGTTATGTGTTCAATGGCTTTAGTATTTTATTCAGAGGCTTACAAAAAGTCATTTCTAACTGACACGCTCAATTAATTTTGAAGTACTTGCACTCTCTATATCTTCAATGTCATTCAAAAGTTTATGTTTACAAAGTGCATTTGTAAAAGTAATTTTATACAATACTTTTTAACAAGTGTTTATTGAAAAATTTTGTAATATTAATAATTACAAATTTTAGTTAAAGCAATTTATTATAGAAAATTCTATTATATATTATCAATTGTTTTAGAAAATTCACAAATTTGTACAAATATTTGGATATAAAAACTGAATCAATTCGTGGTAAATTAATTCTTAAAAATGAAGTAGCTATTGATTATACTTCTCAATGTGCCACTTCATATATTTATTATGTAATAAAAACGTGAATAGTATTGTAGTTAACTTTAGGTAATTATAATTTATTACATGCAATATTTTATGATCTGTGTTCATATTAAATTAAGAATTTAACCTTAGTTATAAAAAAAAAGAAGAAAAAAAGAAATAAATAGGTTGAATATGAATTTAGCATTGAAATAATAGATATCCTTTATCGATCTATTAAACAAAAAGATATATATTCTTATTTTACAAATAATTGTTTTGCAACCTGATAAAATAATTATAACATACTGTCCTTGTGTATAGAAAGGAGAGCTGCGATATCATTAGCATATTAATATTCTTTTTTAGATTTATACAAAATTATGATTTTGACATTTTAATATATAGATTTGGTTGTTCAATATTTTTAGTCTGTTTAATTCTTAATAATATCTTAGTATTTGTATTTATTTGTCCACTTAACATTCTAGTAGTTTACAAGAGCCAAGCACTAATAATGAAAAATTCTATTTATGATGCTAATGATATAAAAATTTAAACAAACTATGTATAGGATTATTTTGTTACCTTGAATCTTGAATAGTGCTGAAAAGAAACCATAAAATTTGTATTATGTAAGTGTACAGTGTTAGCAATGATTTATTTATGACAATAATTATAAAATCATGAAAGATTTTTTAGTAATGTTTCATTTTCAAATTGTCTGTAGATTAAGAATAAACCTTTTTCTACATTAATGAATTTTGTATAATAAAAGTTAAAAGCTTTTCTTACGTCTTGTTAATGAACTTGAGTTATTTTTAATTTATATTTCTTATGAAATGAATGCCTATAGTTATATATAACATTTAATGAATATAGCTTCGAGTAAATTTGCATTTTTTTATTTAAATTTCCGAGTAAATGATTAATTTCAATAAATAATTTTGACATAGGCCATTCATTAGATGAGAAAATATTTTTAGTTCTTGAAATTGTTTAAAAATTATGAGTAATTTAGTTCATAAAATTTTAGATGCAACAATTGGCAATTTATTCGGCAAGGATATTACATGCAGAGAACCAGTTCATCGCTGTGACACATATCAACCTGGTGTCTTAGTAGAAATTGGTAGAATTGGGATAAATGTATGTTTTCGCGTATAAAATATCGAAATTAAAAATATAATTTTAGATAATAAAGATAATATTCATATAATTTGTTATATTTATTTTTACTATTGATCAGCTGAAGTTTTGTCTTATATTTGGTAAGTAATCGATGCTCTTTCTTTGTTTTCAATGTAACATAAAGGAAATTTTTAGAAGAGTTCGAAATTTTAAAAATAGTAATTATGTGTTTTAATTAATACAAGAGTATTATTTAAGAATAAGATTTTTTAAGTTTTAACGATTAATCATGTAAATCATAATCTGAATGAATTACATATTGAAAATTATAAGTATATATTTACATGGACGATTATTTAAATTTTTTTTTTTTTTTTTCACATTCATTCCATTATGCGCAAATATTCGATATTGTAACATTCAGAAGTTGGCGATTCTAATTTTTGGTTCTATGATTTGGAGGTTGATAGTTTATACGGTTAACTCACCTGAAAAAGTATACATAGAAGTGTTGAAATGAAAATTTTTTAATTTTCTTTAAGAAATATTAAATTTTGGTGTATTTAAAAAATAACTAGTCGAACGCCTATAGTATTTAACAATAAATAATGAATAGAATTAAGGTAATTTTAACCTCGTAACGAATTAGTGCATTTCATCTATTTTTGAATCGTACATTTATTTATAAATGTAAATTTTGCGAGAAGCCTAAATCTAAATTATTTCAATTTAGAATTTTCCCATATTACAATCGTATATGTTAAGAGTCATATTGGATTTATTTTTTTTTTAAGTTATTCAAGAAATTTTTGATGCCTAGCGGCCTGTGTGCAGCAGTACCCTTGGCAAAATCTGAAGAAAAATTGTCCGTTTCAGATGTTAATAATGCTAATGCAAATGATAGTGAACATTCCAAATTAAGCCCTTATTACAGACCTGCACCACGACGGTAAAGTTCAAGTAATTTATATAATCAATATATGTTTATTAATATATAATTTATAACACCAAAAATAAATATTGTTTTATTATTGATCAAAGATATTTATATTATAATTTAATTTGCATTTTTATTTTTAATACGAAAAATGTTATTCCATGTAAAAAAACACACACGCGCGCGCTTACACACACACACACACACACATATATATATATATATATATTATGTATCAATATTCAGTTTTATCTTGAATAGTATATATTTACAAATATATGTAATTTTTAATATCTTTATAGCAGACGAATGTAGAATATTTTTTAAATTCCAATCTGAATATTTATTATTATACTTTTAGAAAGTTGAGTTTCATTAATTTCATTAAACATATCAAATATTTTTTCAGTGTTACAATAGAAAACGAAGAGCCAAGTCGGTTAGAAGAAAATGTTGGAATTTTACGAAGGTCGATACAAGATAAATTAAAAGTGATCTCAACATACAAAAACACAATTTCAAATACAATTGATGTTGGTTACGCGCACACCAAAGGTATAAGAATGATAATCCAATTATTTTACCCTACAGAATTTTACATAATTACAATTTAGATTACTAATTTTTATAAATTATATTTTATTACAGAAACTTTTAATTATTTGAAAGATGAGTCAAATACATTACCTCGTATTGGTGCAGTCGGGGTTGGTGGTTTAAGCGGATTAATATTAGGTTTAAGAGGTGGAAAATTAAAAAAATTAGTATTTTCTAGCACTGGTGCACTTGTTGTTGGATCAATTTGTTACCCAAATAAATTTGAAAATGGGTGCAAATTTATAAAATATTATGTCACTGTTGGATATAATTTCGTACGAGGAGGTATGATTTTTTTTTAAAAAGAGTTTTATATGCTCTTTTTTGTATAAAAATTGCTTTATATTCATATTACAAATATTAAATAAGCATATTTGCTCTAGACAATTATATTCAATTTTTTACAACAGTTATATATGCTCCACAACTTCATATTAATTACAAATAAATAACAAGTTTCAAAACTAATAAAAGATTTGATATTTTATATTTTATAGTTAAATCCGAAGAGAATAATAACGCAGGCATGACATTGTTAGATTTAAAAAATCTAAATTTCTCCAGAGTATCAGATACGTTTAACAATTCTTCGCTTGGCTTGTTAGTTCATAAAATTAAGAAAGTGTACGATGATTTTGCAGCGGTATGAACAATTTTAAATATTTTTAATTTCTCTTGTATTTAATAAATATTTTTTTATTTTATACATTCTTCAATGCATAAGTAACTAAGTAGAATTTACATTATATTAACTACCAAAATAGTTTCAAAATTATTTGCTCACAAGTAAGCCGAAAAATTTTCATTATGATTAAATAATACAATTGTGTAACAAACCTTTTGTTAATTATAAACAGTCTTACGTATATATTGGGTTTTCTATTATTATTCTCATATCTCTTTAATATTAAAATGTATATAATTATTTTTTATTTAGACACCTGTACCACCCGGTGAGAAGAAGTCGAAAGAAAATTAACATATTTCAAAATTTGTCATTGAGATCAATTCGTCGTGATTGAAGTAATTGTAATAAGGATATATTATTTATATATAGAAAATTGATTGTTGTACAAAAAAAAATTGCTTATAATATTGACAATGAATAAAAGATAATAAAAATCTTTCGTTATACAATTATGCTAGTTTTTTAATTCCCTACAATTTTTATATAATTGTTATATAGTTATTTTAAATATTTGTACTACATATTTTCCTACTAAAGAATAAATGTACCTAATAATAAAGTTAGCGAATAAGTAATTACAAATGAAATGTTTTAATATATTGAGGCAATTTATTAAATAATTATAATTCAAATTAAAGCTGTTTAATTTAAAACAAAAGATACAATCCAAATAAAAAAAAAATTCATTTTGAAATATAAACGTTCGAAAAGTAAAATTTAAAATATTTGTGTAATTTTAGAATTTATATTTAATAATTGAATATAAGTTAAATATTTTGTAATATCTTCAAAACTTCATAAATGACAAAATTAATGCATTCTTAAAGAATCCAATGATGCTCGATACTGGAATGATTATTTATTTAAAAAATTTATATAAAGCTTCGCTAAAAATATATAATTTTGCGTCAAAATGAGAATTTTCATGTCTGATATACTCTGTCTTGTTTTTTTAATGCGTACTGAATCTAGTACTTTTCAATGATTTAAAATTATGTCCAAGGAAGATATTTAATATAGCGTATGACATTTTTCGTATGATATTTATGATTTATTAAATTAACTTTATGAGAAAATTTTCTATAATATGCTATTCAATATGTTAATATATTATGTAAATGATTATACATACATATATCATTCTTCTTTATTTATCAATAAAATTATTATATATTATCATAAAAACAAATATTATAAAGTATAAAATGTTTGAAGTAATTGTATAGGCATTGATTGAAAATATTGTACAAAAAATGTCACCTACGGTCAATATTGATTAACTATATAAATTTGCTTTGAAATTTATGGGAAGTAGATTGAATGAAATCTTATTTAAACAGTTTTAATTTTAATTTCCATTTTATACGTTTTAAGAATGGAATTATAAAATGGAAAAATGGCATTTACTCCGATTGTGCACTAGATATATTCATAATTTACTTCGAGCGTTGACTAGAGCCTTTTGCAATTGCCGCAAGCCTCTTCAATTCATCGTTGTTACTGCTCCATTATATTATCAAAAAAAAAAAAAAAAAAGGAGAAAGAAACGAACGAAGAAAATGAGAATGAATCATAAATCACGTAGGCGGCAATGCTTAGCGCAACAGTCTTAATAAATGATATCGTATTTAAAATAATACGTATTACCACTATCGTAATGTGTCTCGAGTATCTTTCTAAAAGTATATTATGGGTTCACCTTGCGTATAAGTCAACTTCCTAAAGGTATTTCCATAAAATAAATATAAATAAAGTGATTATATGTTTGTGCGTGTGCGTGTTTATAGTTTAACCAAAAAAGAAAAAAAAAATAAATAAATAAATAAATAAATAAATAAAATAAATTATAAGAACACTATATTTCCGCTATAAAATGCATTATTTTTATTTTATAATATTTCGTTTTAATTTCTTGGCACTATTAAGTTTCTATACGTAGATTGTTCTTTGCATTTATCATTATTAAAGCATTAGACTTTGTTGCTAGAGGTAGATTAATGTTCAATCGTTTCAGATTAAATTTTGCTTTGTAAAAATTAATTTTAATTAGTGTTTAGTAGAGAAATAAAAAATTTGATGCTATGTCAATAATAATTAAGTCGACTTAATACATCGAATCAATCACAATTGTATAGGAAATAAATAAAATATTAAATTGAGTAAAATAATGTATAAATCAATATAACTTTGTTGATATCAATCAATCGTTCGGACAATACTTTTCATAGAATATACCTTGCAGTTTGTAATCTGGAGCTGATATTAAAGAAAAATATTTGTATAAACAATTGTTTGTTTGAGAAAATTTTAATTAGTGACCAAAAACGAATAAACAAGATTTCACTTAAATAAAATGCATTATTTATAATGCATAATAGTAGTCGTTTTATATAAAAAAATATATTTAATAACCACTGATATAGATTATAAATTTAATTTAATTTCAACAAACATTTATGTAATAATTTTCCTATTTAAAAAAAATGTTATAAAAAAATATTAACTTCCTTGTTTCATACTTTGGATAATTATTAGTAAGTCCATTATTTAGCTTGTAAATTAAATATCGATTAAAGTTTGAGGCTGAAATATCATTGATATGAAATTGTTAAATTATTTATTGAAATAATTTACCTATTTAAAACTTTAAAGATTCTTAATTATTCGATTAATGCATAAATAAAAATAAGAATGTCGTGCACATCATATATATATATATATATATATATATATATATATATATATATACAGATGTTATAGGTTCAAAATCTTTTTAATGTGTAATTAAAAATAAACATAATAAACCCGGTTTAAATTGAATGGAAAAATATTTTTGCGATTATACACTTATCTGTTTTTCGCTTAGTAATCTAGAGTAATAGAGAAATAAAATTTGAATAATTTATTCTTTTATCTGTATTATTAAATTATATCATAATTATAGTTATTTACATTATAAAAAGAAATTTTTTGTTTAAATACTTTAACGATGTGAAAATTTGTATTTAGCTAAAAAAAAATTGTTGAATTCTTCATTGATTTAATTTCTATTTACTATCTTGTTTATATTTCTTGAAACGATTAAGAAAAACAATAAGTATTGAATGGATCTGAGTGTAAGTTACATTTAAATAGGTGATATTTTATTTTAACAAACGCTCAAATAAAAGCGTATAACTTTATTATTTCTAAGAATGCTTTTTAATAACAACAACAACAACAACAACAACAATAATAATAATAATAATAATAATAATAATAGTAATAATAATCACATACGTACGGAAGAAAATCAGGTACGAATAATAAAGTATAGGGAGAGATTAAGAGAGAAAATCAGCCATTTTTATCTAAAAGGTATAAGAACCAATGGGTGTGAGGCAGCTTGCAGCGCTTACTTTATTTCTCATTTAACTCTACATGTGTTTTTTTTCATATGCATATATATGCATATATACGCATGTGTTTGCACGATTCTTGGCGAATTGTTATATATATATATATATATATATATATATATATATATGATATGGCAGTGGTTACATTTGTGGGGCTTTTATGTGCACAGCATGCAACATTACACAATCGATGACAGTCACCTGAACTTTAGCGAAGCCGAAATATCACGCAAGTAGGGCTACGGCGACTGTCGACATTAGCAGACCACGTAAATGCAATTGCAAATAATTTAGGCAAAGAGAAATAGGTTGCGTGTGCCATTTCGTGCACGGCCTTTACTTAAAATTCGTGAATTTTTTAAATCGTCACGTATTTGCATGCATTCACTGGGCGCAAAATAAAAGTACACGCTAGTACATAATACATCTGCGCGTATGCGCGCGCGTACAGCGGCATAAAGCGGCCCTCACATTTCCCCTCTCTCTCTCTCTCTCTCTGTATTTCTTTCGCGCATACACACAACACGCACGCACGCCCATGTACACAAACTCGTTCACTTTTCCTCTCGCTTTTATTTTAACGAGCACGGCATCTCGTTCCCGTAATAACGATCAGCGCTAAAGACGTATGTTCAAAGTGAGTTAGACGCGTACAGTAGAGAGAAGTCGGAGGCGCACGAATAAAAATTCATCAAGGTCGCGTGCGCGGGGAGTTTCGATAAGGGGGCGCGGTGTCATCCCAGGCAATATACTGTGTGCAACAATAAAAGATTTTCGCGCGCGGGCAAAGAGCAGCGCCGTAGCCCGTCGCTGTACCTCGTGTGCGCGCGTGTTCCTTACGACGACGACGACGACGACGACGACGACGACGACGACGGCGACGACGCGAGGAGAGTGCGGCTTACTTCGCCGCAATGTCTACTAGCGATAATCGCACCTTGTAAAAGCAAGAGAACCGTGATAAATAATACGTTGACGCATCGAGTTCTTGGCTCGCTCGAGCTCGACACTCCTCACAACTCTCGACTTTTGCTCCGAGGAGGAGAGCCGAGGGGAATCACCGACCTCATCGAGAAGCTCCACGAGCGAGAACGAGCCAAAAACATGAGCGAGCACACCAAAATGTAAGTAACGCATGCTCCGACTACTTTCTCAATATACTCCCATTTTCGTGCGTTTGCCGCCGTATTTTGTTTGGAGATGATATTGACGAACGCGGTTAGAGGTGTCGGATGGACTCGGTGAGTGACGTGAGAAGTAAGCCGCCACTCATCGATTTTTGCCTTTCCTCTCGTCCCCGTGCCAGACGTTACTTACTTCTACACTACCGACGCATGTGATTCTCATGCTTGTCTGCTGCACATCTTTCTTTTTCTTTCTCCAATTTCGCCTATTATACTGTTTCCTCCGAGGCTGTATGACTTTTCTTTCTAGGGTCATTTAACAACGGGCATTAATTAGTCCTTTTCCATATATCCTCGAATAGTCATTAATGCGTGCTGATGACATTTTCATATAATTCAAATTGAATCTCGATAAGCTGTCGTGGTAATGTGATTAGAACGAATCGTATTAAAAATGTTTAATATTTTGTTCGCATCCACGCTGATAAAAGCGTAGTAAACCATTTGTTCAGAATTTTTATGTCGTGCCATTTTATTAATGAAACTCATGACAATTATTTAAAAAACATTGTCAATTACAAATGCAAAACCTCACCACCTGGGGGCTTAAATTGTATTTACCTATTGTATATAAATTGTATAAAAACTTTTACACGCAGGCAAGAAAATTAAGATTTTGAGGTTAGTTTTCCAACTATATACATAAGTTACAGCTGTTCAAATAAACGTATGCGACAGCCAAATCATATTTTTAATTTGCTGCTGCGTGTTTAATTTTTATTGGCCCATTAT